CAATTAATAGTAATGAAAGGGGATAAATTAGATGAAATGAAAACGTATGAATAGATAGAGAATGTGGGTAAGCGAAAGATTATTATAAGTTATGAAAAGTTAGAAAGAAGGCCAATATCGTTTGAACTTTAGAGAAACCGTCAGCAATAAAAGGCGAGCTCGGAGCACACCCGACCGGGCTGCCAGTAGGAGGCGGCGCAATATGGCCATAGTACAGCCCTTGAGAGGAGGAGGAGGCTGGCTGACAGTGCTGTATGCCGCCGAGGGGCAGTTTTTGGGTGCTGTCCCCATCCCAGGGGGCTGCAGAAGGCGTCCGCAGCCGGGACAACCCGCCCCCCCAGCCGAGGCCGGTCGAAGCCCACTTGAGCACAGCCATGAGGAGTCCTCTTGGTGCTCCTGGCGGCCGTTGGAATGGCGAGCGCGCGCCGATGGGGGGGGGGGGGGGTCTTGCTTGCTCCACACCGAGCGCCATCGGTCCGGACCGGCGTGCTCACCGAGGGGTGGCCTGCACAAGGTCTGAGCCGCGGGCGCTCGGCGCCAAGTGCAGTGTCACGCTCGCGCTGGAGCGGGACACAATGGGAAACCCTCGTTTCCTATGAACTCGGTCCCCCAACGGAAGAGGCCTCGCTCCTATTGGAACTGGCCAACATCAGATTTGCCTCGTGCGTCCCTTTTTGAGTCGGAAAGCTATTTTCTTTTGGGTCCTGTGGGCACCCTATCATCGCAAACCCCGCCAGCAGTCCACCTCAGGAGGTGAACCCCTTCTGCGTTGCTGTGAACCCATCTGTTTTTGTGTGAACGGAGAGCATTGACAATCTCTCTCCTTGATTGCTAGAAATCGTACCAAACTCTGTCGAGCGGGAGCTCGGTCAGGGGTGGTAAAGAGAGGTAAGACCTTCCTTATTAGGTCCGCCTCTCACACCCTCACACTGTCTGCGATGTGAGCTTCTTGTTTCTTATCAACCTGTCTGTGAACCCATCTGCGATCCGCTGTGACCCCCTACCGGCCAGGAGAAGAACCCGTCCCTGGGCGGCGCGGGAGTGACCCAGGCGCCGCTGAGCCGGCCCTCTCCTGCGCCGCCGCCCCGCCCGCCCTGCCGCCTCTCACCGCCGCCACATGTATGCCGCAGGCCGACATGGAGGTCGATAGCAAGGCTGATGACAAGGCCGCCGGCCCCCGCTTTGTCGTCAAGAAATGGCGCGCGGGAGCGCCCCGCCGCCAAGACTGCCACTCCGCCGAGTGGCCCCTCGTCCGCGCACTGCCCCGCGCACCCGCCCACCGCCCGCGCCACCTCTTCCGCGCCACCCCGCCGCGCAGGAACGCCGTCACCTTCTGGTCATGGGACATCTGCACCGGTGGGCACCTTGCTGCTGCCCGCTGCCCCGCCGACGTCCTCTCACCGCGCCTGCCGCTCCGTCTGCAGACACGTGCGCCATCTGCCGCAACAAGCTGTACGAGCCCTCGATTGAGGCTCAAGCCAGTGCGCACCGCCGCCGCCAACCCCGCCGCCGCCGCCCCTCTGGCCAGCCACACCGCGCACCCGCACCCGCGCACCCGCACCCACGCGCGCCCCTCGCCGCAGACCCCGGCCTGGCAGACGACGCCGGCTACTCGATCGCGTGGGGCTGCTGCGGGCGCGGCTCCCCCCTCCT